CCCCAAAACCCCAAAACCCCAAAACCCCAACACCAAGACATATTCAAATGAAGTCAAAAAATATAATAAATTAGATTAATTAATGAAACGTAAAAATTCTAAGTCAGGAAAAGGTAACAAGCAAAAGAACCTCGAGCAGTATGTCAAATATTGAATCGATAATAACCTTTATGCTGTTGATGATCAGTAAGATTATTTTATACATCCATACATATTTTGCATTTGAAATGAACAATTATCTGACCTAAAGTTATAGGAAGTTTAAGATAGTTGTTGAAAACTAAAAAATGCTAGATAGAATGAATGAAATATATAATGTAAGATTAACAGAATTTTATGCTTATATTAGAAACCTTCAAGTCTAAATAGATCTCGCTCTAATAATTATGTGGCTGGTGGGCTTTCAACTACTTCACATAATACTTCTTTACTATAAAATAAAACCATGAATTTAGTGATTCGCAAATAAGAGGTTTTAAGGATTGATAATGAAAATAAACGTTTAGTCAGTAAATTGTAAGGTATAAAGCCTAGTGTCTCAACACCACTAACAGCTCGCAGGCCAAGCGAGAACTCAGCTTCAAATACAACTATCAATCTACTTACTAGGAGGAACTCAGCCTGGATCAGATAACTAGGAGGAGGTGGCAAAACATCTCATCAGAATAGAACCTTGCTTCAGATAAATGATCATTTTCAAGAGGACACTTCAAATACTACCTAAGATAACATAAGCGTAATGAACCATAATCTAAGCCAGAGACCATAGGACCAACTAAATTCTTAATAACTAATGAGGCACACTATTTCTGGGAAATAGTTTAAACTTAACTTGAATTAGATGCTCAGACCTTAGAGTTAAAATTAGATGCTCCCATTAAAAAAGAAAGTAGATATTGGACTTGAAAGTACCAGTAAACTTTGCAAGCTAGCAGGTTAATGATAAAATAGTGAAAGCAAGCTCACACCAAAAAGGTTTATGCTAAGAAATCAAACTACAGATAGAGCAAATTCTCATGAAATGCAATCACCAATTTCAAAATAGTCTGATAATAACAACATCAATACTATTACCTCATAGCAAAAATAATAGGTCTTAGACAAGCCTCTACCAGACGTAGATTATGATGAAATAAAAACCCTTATACAGGAGGCAAAGAAAGGATCTTTAACTGCTAGAGAGCAGTTAAGTGACTACCGAGCCAACCTATATTTCCAAAGGTTAAAGTAGCAATTCAATCAATATAAAAATGAAGCTAGTGAAACCAGAAAATCAGACCTTAGAGACAGTTTACTTAATATCGGACTCCTAAATGAAGAGACTAATTAGTCATAATTAGAGGAAAATGAGAAGTTACATACTAAAATGAAGAAGCTCTTTCTCAAAGGCCTAAAAAAGCAAAATAAAAGTTAGCTAAAGATTGGCCAGTTAACTAAGCCTTAAGTTAACAAATTTATAGATTTTTCTTAGTTTCAGAACTAAGCTTAAAAAAAGAAGAGGAAGCATAAATCTAAAACCTAGACTATTTTTGATGTGGATTTAGAGATTGATGATAAGAGGATCAATGATATGAAAAGGCTTTTGGAAAAGAAAGAGTAAAAACTGCTTAAGTAGCTTGAAAAAATTAGGACTTAAAAGGAAACTACTGATATTGTTAAACCTTCCACTGCCTACAAGAAGTTTATAGATAATGATAACTTTCAATTCCTCCGAAAGTATTCAAGAATTGAAGGCAATTAAATTAGTGGTACTGCAAGTAGTGGATTTGGAGGAAAGGTTACTGCAGGAAATGAGAGTTCAAGGGGTAGAACTCAGTATTTCCCTGACATTGGAAGAAGTAGTAACCAAAGAAGCCCAGATTAATTTCAAACTCCTCGTGGCAATTGATTTAATTTCTATTCAATTAGATAACAATTTTACTATTTCTTAAAAATATATGAGTATGGGGTTTTGGGGTTTTGGGGTTTTGGGG